GCTTGTGTACGCGCGGGGAGACATAAATTTGGACTCACGTCGTCGCTCTGCTCCATGAGCGCTCCGAAGAGTGTAAAGGTAGCACCACGTACCCATCAGCCCGGTGAGCATTGGACCTCAACGAACCCGCCAGAAGATTGATCTACTATCTTTGATCACTATATTGATCGCTACTCGGATTGATCGCATGCTAACCTCCAGACCAGACCTCGCCAGCGAGCCGTGAGTGATGACGTGTGACGTGAGCGAACGCGATGTCATTGGGCTGTGAATGCCTCAAGAGCACGTGCTCGCTGTGGCCCTCAAGGACTTTCCATCCGGTCTGCACTGGACGCCCTCTGTCCGGAACTGTTGCAGTGACCGACTGGTCGCCGGCATACGCAGCTACGACTGCAAGAGGTGCTCCGAGGTGACTGAAGGGCCGCTCGGAGAACTGGACAGAGCCGTTCGATCACCATGCCTGGCAAGAGGGTCGAGCTGATACATTCGTCCTCATGAGGACCATAAACCGCGGAAACGCGTGCACGAAGGGATTCAGCGCGGGCCGTCAGCTGCCAAATTTTCATGCAAATGAAATTGGCCCATCAGGGTGGATCGAATTATTCAGCAGCGTATTACATCGAACAATTCCAGAATAGTCCGCTCAGTCGCACCGAACACCAGATCATCGGTATCGCGTGGTTTTCGGTGCTGCCCTCTCGCGGCCAAGAAGTCACGACAAAAACGTTGACGTTGCCGGGCTTAGTGATGCAACATGACCCGGGTAGCTGAACCAGTTCTTTGTTGCTGGCTGATTCAACGTGGCGGCAGCACTGTCGGCGCTGTCGTCAGCCGACCAACGTGAAACTTTGTCTCCACGGTGACTTTAAGTGTGCAGACGAATGTGGCTGCACGTTGGGATGATCAGAAACTCGGGCGTGAGAGCGCCATGTCCGTCATGTCAAAGCGTCATGTCCTCATGCGTCAGCCACATGGTACGCGACCGAATCAAATGCACGCTGTATTTAGGGTAAGTCGTCAGTACGGTGCCGGCATGTTCGAGCATCTGCGGTACTTCTGGTCTCAGGGACGGGGGTTCAGCAGGTACGCTCGTCGGGCTTGGGCAAAACAGTGCAGTACCATGCACCACAGGTGCCACGCAGCGCGACCAATACGTCTGTCTTCGAGTCACGATTCGGTACCCGATGTCAACACGCAGATTGTGGCAAACGGCGAGGTGTGTTAGCCCCCCACTAGCGAAGTTTTGAAGAAGAAAGTTGCCTCCCATGATTGGGTGCACTGCCTGTGACGTGCCACGAAACACATACCAGTGTTCTTGACAAATGCATCAGCCTTTTTAAGTTTAGTTCAATCGGCTTTCATAGCTCCAACGACTGTTTGATCCTACTTCTTCTCACATTTAGTCAGAAAACTTTCCCTGTAACCGCCCTGGGAACATTCACGCGGCGTCGAATGCATTGACACGGCCACGCCGTACAATCTGGAGACCGTTCCAATCGGACACGACTACGGCAACCGGTACATATATATATATATATATATAATATATATAATATATATATAATATATGCATCGGTAACGGACACGACTGCGGTAACCGGTATATATATATATATATAATATATATATATATATATATATATATATATGGGTAATATACTACAACGATCGGCCCCCGAATCACGAGCGTTGTCGTCATTGGGACTTAAAGACGCACGCAGCTGCTGAGGCCGTATGGCGGAGTCTCCCTCTCACCCTGCCGCAGCTTCAGACGCGTTAACCACTACACTATCGGCACCCTCTATCGAGAATCGAGAGACACATGCTCGACGCTTGAGAAGTTAGTGCAATTAGTTCTGTGCAATGAGGCGAAAGTTAATTGAACAGTATTGATTACATAATCGAACGTCAAACATGAAATGACATCCAAAGTATTCTGTGCACGGTTTAGTCGGCCTTTATTTATGGTGTTTCATGAAATGCTTTAAGATTTTAAACATACGTCGAGCAAACGACGTTATGGCAGAAACTACAGAAGGTGCCCGCTTACTGTCAAACATTTCAAATTACTAGGAATTCAGTCAGCTGGTGCAACATTGACAATTTTACGAAATTTGCGTGGTAAATCTATGCTATGAAACACAAACGTTTTTCCTTAAACATCGAATTACAATAAACGTTTACGACAGATAGAGGTTAGCAGCCTGGTTTATAAAAGTGAGTACCTTTGTTCTACGCACAAAAGCAGCTCAAATCGGATACGTTGAATGAGAGACAACTGAGTGCCCAGAGGACCAATTCATGCCTAAGGCAGGCAGTTTCCCGAAAGTTTACTGTCTGCTGTGATTTGGCGTAAGGGAAGATCATTCGAAAACAAATACTGTGACAGGTGTCTTATATGTTTTACGCGCCACACAGCAGTGATATTAATCAATCAACACCACAGCAAAACAGTCATGCGATCAACATGCAGTCAGTCACGCAGGGGCAGCCAGGCCAGAGGAGTGGCTACCGACGGCGGACGAGAGCAGTGTTCAGATAAGGAGTATCTGAAAAAGAGCCTTCATTCTGGTACTTGGATTTACAGGAGAAACCCTGGTTGTATGGCTTTTATCACGTGGTTTTTTGGCGAGTAGTACTTGCAGCTTCCGAGTTTGCTTCTGCTTAAAGTGTTATGACAAAAACACCCTTGAACAGCGGTCGGCGAAATCCAGACGAATGAAATGTCAGGTGCACCACGGGCCATTTATTCCAATTTGACATTCTGACCAGCCTGTGCCACGAAAGAGGCAAAAGGCAGAGACAAATGCTTCCCCAGTGACCCATAATGCCCATCTGCTGGGGGACTTCTCTCTCCGGGATAAACAATGTCAAATGGACGAATGATTCTGGGAAACTGGGCAGTCTTATTTCCCGAATGCTGTAGATGCGTCAGATAGGTAAGATTGTGCACCAGTAGGAAACCGCCGTAGTTCCATATCTAGCATAGCAATCAAAGCATTTACTTATTTCCCAGATGTGTGATATTAATTGAGCGCGAACAACGCCCTCCATCTTACACTCCACCGGGTCATCTGGCTTGTCTCTCAGTAAGAGTTCGTTAAGCAAACCCTGAGCCTGTGCCCCCCCCCCCCCCCACTCCTCCCAAGTTTTGCCTGCACCCCCCCCCCCCCTTCAACGGGCTCCGGGACTTGCAAGGCGTTCTCGCCTGTGCTCGGAAAAGCCCATTAGTTCGCAGTCAATATGGACAATGGCTTGGTCTCAGTCCTCTCCACAGCTGACTCCTCAAAAGCTTGCGGTGGGATGGACCACAGCCGTCTCCAGAAGACGTTTGGTTGGTGCAACATAGATGATCGTTAGCTTCGGGGTCGGGATTTAGCGTCCGCCCTCCAATCATGGAGAACAGCGCTCCAGCATTTCCCGCACCCAGGAAGTGATCCAGGGACAGATTCTCGGTACCATTATGTTCCTGCTTTTCAGGAATGGCCTTAACTCGCATCTCCCGCTTTGGAGGTATGGAAGGTTTATCGGTGATGTCTAATTTACAGGCTCAAAAACTCCAGTGGAGCTAAGCGTCTTAAACTCCGCGTGGAAGGGACT